AGAGAGAGAGAGAGAGAGAGAGAGAGAGAGAGAGAGAGAGAGAGAGAAACACAGACACACATACACAGACATACACATGGGGGCCTGAGGTGGGGGCGGAGGGAGACAGACAGGCACAAGGACAGAAAGAGAGAGTTTGCTCCTGACCAAAAGGGGAGGAGACTGTGTCAAGGGTGTAGAGAAAGGGCAGCTGGACAGCCTAAGACCTGGACAGGGCAGGCAGCGGCTCAGCTCCTTTTTCTATTTTAAGGAGAGCTATGATTCAGTGGTTCTAATTCTTGAATTCACAGAGACTGCTGCCTGCTACCCTGAGAGTTCCTGACTCCAGCCAGAGGCCTGGAGTAGGCTGAGAATCCACACTTCCACCCAGTCCTTGAATAGTGCTGGTTCGGCAGGGTCACTGTTAAAAACTGGTGTCAGAAAGTTGAGAAACTTTCCAGCTTGTATCTTTTTGTTTCCTCTTGAAAATTATGGAGCCCTGTGTACTCTCCTTAGAACCCAGCAAGTATAGGCAAGATTCTCAGTGTAATTACAGTGCTCAGCCCACCATTAACTGATGCGGCTGTCTCGTGCCTGGGCTAACCAAATATTAGACTGAACCTTTGGACTGAGCTGGACAGTGAGGTCAGGGTGGGGAGGAGGCGAGAAGATGAAGATGAGAGGAAATTATTCCAACCCCTTCCCGTTCTTCACTTAAATGATCGACTTCTAACTCGCCCTCAAGTTCGGTGACTAAATGAAACACAAAGGGCTAAAAGGAACAAATTCTCAGGTTCTAGAAAGAAGTTGTGCCCCATCCCGAGCTGCTTCCGGTCTCAGGCACGCCTACCTCGCAGGCCTTAATGTGCTCTTTCTGCCACTCTTCTCGGACATTCTCCAGCAAGTTGATGTGCTGCTTGTACGCTTTATCTGTGATGGGGGGAGGGGAAGCTAGACTTAGGAACTAGGCAGGCTTGTTACATTGTAGCTGTTCCTTTCTGTTAATTCCACCTATTCAGAGTAACGTAAACAGCCCCCAGCCAACCCTCCCCATCCATCAGGGTATGTTCCCCACCCCCTCACCTGAATCCTCTACTGCAGTCTTTGAAGTGGCTAGTTTCACAAAAAGCTGTGAGGACCAAAACCAGAAAGAAATTAGGAAAGCTACTCCTGCTTCCATGAGCAAACACATGTAAAAGCAACAACAACCGAGAGGTAGGATCTGGTCTACGTCCTCTATACTTTTAGGCTTAAAAGCAAATCTTTCATCTCTATACTTTAATCTTCTCATCAGAAAACAGATATCCTATGTCATCCTAGAGACAGGTCTCCAACTCTCAAACTGTGGATAATATTATATTAAGATTATATGTTATTAAACTTATTTTTAAATTTTATTTTATTATTTTGTGTGTGTGTGTGTGAGTGTTCTGCTTTCATGTATGTCCATGTACTACGTTCTTGCCTGGCTCCTGCAGAGGCCAAAAGAAGGCATCTGGGGACTGAAATTATAGATGGTTGGGAGCTGCCATGTTGGTTCTGGGAATCGAACTCAGGTCCTCTGAAAGATCAGTCAGTACTCTTAACTGCTGAGTCATCACTACAGCCCTATTATTAAATTTATTGTTTAATTTATTGATATCATTCCAGTTATATTATTAAATGTATAATTCCTGCCCTCAAGAAGCATGCTGTCAATAAAGAATACAGGAGCTGAGTTTTGAAGACACTTTAAAAAAAAATCGGGGCTGGAGAGATAGCTCAGTAGTTAAGAGCACTGACTGTTTTTCCATAGGTCCTGAGTTCAGTTCCAAACAACCACATGGTGGCTCTCAACCATCTATAATGTGATCTGATGCCCTCTTCTGGTGTGTCTGAAGACAGCTACAGTATACTCATATACATAAAAGAAATAAGTAAATAAATCTTTTTTTTTTTTTTTAAATCAAACCTCCTATCCCAACCACTGTTTCCTAATAGTGAGCTTCTCGGGTGCTTTCCCCAACCTCAAAATGTTAAGAACTTTTTCTGGTTCTGAAAACTAGAACCAAAGGAACTATTTCTCAGAGACTTGGGATATAAGTATTTTTTTTTTAATAATTTAAGCTTTTTGGTTAGCTTTATTTTTGTTTTGTGGGATGGGGTTTCACTGTGCAGCCCAGTCTGGCACTGAACTCATGCCTTTCCTGCCTCACCCTTCTGAGAACTAGAATGCCATGCATGTACATCCTGCCCGACCCTGAGCTGGCTTTAAGCTCACAGGAGGGAATCTCTGATTCTTCAGGTTGCTGGTCACGCCGCGTACCTTTTCTTGTTGCCGTTGGTTGGCCACATTGGCGCTGCGGTGGACCGCTTGCTCCGCGTCATCCTTGTCTCTGCACTTCTGCTCATAATTCTTCTTGGCCTTTGTGTAAACAGAACATGGGGACGGGTAAGCAGGGTATAAAGTCTGAAAATCCGCTACCCAGACCTCCAGGCCAGGTCCACGCCCATCAACCGAGCTCTGATCGGTGCTGGAGTCTCCGCTAGACATCAGGCTCTCAAAGGGAAGATTCCGTGTCAATGCACTTTGAGCAGTCTCCCTAGTGCTCGCTCTTTTCCAAACTATTCACAGAGTGGCCCTGGGCCAAAGAAAATAGTAACTGCCATTTGGTGTGATGCACGTGAATGCTAAAGACTAAGAAATGGGATTTAAAATGTATATGATTGATTTTTATAATTTCTCTTTATTCTTGAAATAGTCAGATTTATGTAACATTCATAATCCTTAGAGTCTATGTGCAATCACATGGCCACAGGAACCAACTCCCTCTCTTTCTAAACAGGCATAAGAGTCCCCAGCCGCTGCCACGAACAGTAGGAGGCACACCAATGCCATCATTCACTCACTTTAATATATTTGAGTTTATTACGTTTTGTTTGGTTTTGTTTGTTTATTTGGAGACAGGGTTTCTCTGTATAACAGAGCTCTGACTGTCCTGGACTCATCTTGTAGTTCAGGCTCCTGTGAGTCCTCGAACTGAGAGAGATATGCCTGCTTCTGCCTCCCAAGTACTAGGTTTAAACATGCACCACCACGCCTGGCCCCATGTTTCTTTTTTAAAGACTTCTATTTTATAAAATTTAAAGTAGCCTACAGCCTATCTTATGCCAGTTTTACTATCAGGACTATGAGATCACTTCATAAATTCTAATATTTATAGGATCACTTCATAAACCCTAAAAAAGCTATGAATCAAACAACTGGCAAATAAATAAATATGACAGTTAAACTTGGCTAAGAATAAAAACGTCCTGTCTTGACTGGAGACATGGCTAAGCCACTAGAGGTTAAGCTCCCAATCAAAAATACAAGTCTTGTCGGGCAGTGGTGGCACATGCCTTTAATCCCAACACTTGGGAGGCAGAGGCAGGCGGGAGTTTGAGGCCAGCCTGGTCTACAGAGTGAGTTCCAGGACAACCAGGACTACACAGAGAAACCCTGTCTCAAAAAACAAAACAAAACAAAACAAAACAAAAACAAGTCTTTTCTTAGTTTGGTTCTTCAACCTGTAAAACGGAGATCAATTGTGAGAACCAAAGTGCAGAAGTTCAAATCCCAGCCTCCCCATTATCTATGGGTTTTTTTTTTTTAAATAAATTACTTAGTGTCTTGGATTCTCCACCTATAAAGGAAAGGTTTTTATGCTATACATATACTATATATTTATCTTCAAAGGCATATGAAAACAAAATAAAATATAAACTGTACTTTTATAACTATCACACATTGACATATGAAATTAAACCCACAAAACCAATAAAATTCAATTGTTGATGATCTCCAAAGGATGGTGGCTCCTTTGGAGAGATAGTCTGTGTCACTGTTACACAGTTCCCTACAGTTCTCATAGTTAAGTTTCCACAATTAAATTAGAGTTAGCTTTTCACAGGCTTTCTCTATCTGCTATATGTTACATTGTTATCATATAAAATTTTATGGATGGAAATAGTAAGTTGCTATAACTATAAAGACATGACAATCATGTGAAAAGACCCATGTAACAATTCCTTGTTACACAATATCTTGGAGCTACTTCTGTCTATTGAGCATGATCACTTTTGTTTCACACTTCTTTGTGGTCCTGAGGATGGACCACACACAGTGCAGTTCCTCTGCACTGCTAGGGAAGCACTCTACAGCTGGCTACATCTAAGTCCTTGGTTTTCTGAGGCATTGTCTCACTATCAAGTTCAGGCTACCTTTCAACTCGATATGTAACCCAGGCTGGCCTCAAACTCAAGACTCTACTGCCTCTTGACTCCTAAATTGCTGGGATTAGCCATACTGGTTTTGGTTTTATTTGTTTTGTTTTCTTGGTTGGTTAGTTGATTGGTTAGTTTTTATGAGACTGGTCTTTCTATATAGTCTTGGCTGGCCTGTAATTCACTATATAGATCAGGCTGACCTCAAACACACAGAGATCCTCCTGCCTCTGTTTCTCAAGTGTAAGGATTAAAGGAATATGCTACTCTACCCAGTTTATGACATTTTTGATGGCTGTAAAACACATATACATATTTAATTCATTTTATATATGAATACAGCTACAAAATATACTATATGCTAAAATGTTTTTAGCATATAGTATATGTTATTTCTTTGCATAAAATTTTATCAGTTTCCTTTTCTTTAGACATAATATATTCTGTCTTTTGAGTAATATAAATTTCTTTATACAGCATCAATTCATAGAAGTGTGATTATCTGCCAAAAGGTATGTATAGCTGGGCTGGCAAGATGCCTCAGTAGGTAAAGGCACTTGCTGCAAGCCAAACAACTGGAGCTTGATTCTTGGAACCCACATAATGGAAAGAGAGAACTCACTCCTGAAAACTTTCCTCTGATCTCCACATGCACACCAACCATGCTAAGTTCACAATAGTGTGGGTAATGAAATGAAAGTAAGTATAAAATAATCAACTTTTAAGGGTATGGATATCAAACTTTCTCTAAAATGGCCGCAGCACTTAATTTTCCCAGAAATAATTTGAAAGTCTGTATTTCCCTACCAACACCAAGTACGGCCAGCATGTTTTATCTTTCTTAGTACTCACACTAAGATGTTAGTTGTGCTGACTAATTTTATGTCAGCTTGACACAGGCTGTAGTCATCTAAGAGAAGGGGACTTCAATTGAGGAAATGCCTCCATGAGATCCAGCTGTTAGGCATTTTCTTGACTAGTGATTAATGGGGGAAGGCCCAGCCCATTGTGAGTGGTGCCAACTCTGGCACTGTTTGAGTTCCTGACCTGACTTCTTTCAACAATAAACAGTGATACGGAAGTGTAAGTCAAATAAACCCTTTCCTCTGCAACAAGCTTTGGTCATGGTACTTCACCATAGCAAGAATAGCCCTAGTTAAGACGGTAGTGTATTATCTTATTTACAACTTATTTTTGTCTTCTGTCATTACTAAAGTGGTACATTTTCTATTTTGATGTCTTTTACCTGTTTATCTATTGAATACCTTTTATTTTGTTTTTTTTTCAAGCTGATACAAAATATTTATCTCAAGTTATTTTATTCAATAAAACCTCTTAACCCTATAAATAATGTTTGGAGCTTCCAAACAGTTATATTTTGCAGTCTACCAGGAATATCGAGGATTTTTATTGACTTTTTAGTACTAGGGATTGAACCTGGAGCTCACGTAGCCTGCAACTGACCTATAGCCTGAGCCCTTTTAACTGAGCTGCAAAAGCACAGCATGCAGCAGAAACACTGAACAGCTGTATGGTATACAAGTCACAAACACCCCCCCCATTTGTGCATCATAAAAGTAGGGTCATAAGATGGCCCGGCTGGTAAGTGCTTGACAGCCTGAGTTCGATCCCTGATCCACGTGTGGAATGAGAGAACCTGCCCTTGCTGGTTGGTCTTGACTCCTGCATGTGCATGTACACATGTGCACATGTGCAGGAAGTAAATACTGGAATATGTATAAAATATATTATTTTTACTAAAAGGTATCTTAAATTTAATGTTTGTTTTTTTTGTTTTTTGTTTTTTTCAAGACAGGGTTTCTCTGTGTAGCCCTAGCTGTCCTGGGACTCACTCTGTAGACCAGGCTGGCCTCAAACTCAGAAATCCGCCTGCCTCCGCCTCCCAAGTGCTGGGATTAAAGGCGTGCACCACCACCGCCTGGCTAAATTTACTGTTCTTAACTCTTTTATTGTTTAATATAGTATGTTAAGTAGTTTTTCCATGTTGTAACATACTCTTAATAATAGTATTTTTTAATAGATCATTTCATTTTAAATTATTTAAGATTTATTTATTTATTTATTTAATGTATGTGAGAACAATTGTAGCTGTCTTCAGACACACCAGAAGAGGGCATCAGATCCCATTACAGATGATTGTGAACCACCATGTGGTTGCTAGGAATTGAACTCAGGACCTCTGGAAGAGCAGCAGTCAGTGTTCTTAACCTCTGAGCCATCTCTGCAGCCCTTTAGTTTTATTTGTAACTCTGTGTGTCTGTGTGGTGTGCAGGTGATCACAATGGCCTTAAGTGCAGTGCTCATGGAGGTCAGAAGAGGGCATCCAATACCCTGGTGCCAGAGTTACAGGCAGTTACAAACCCGAAGAACTGAACACAAGCCCTCTGCAAAAGCCAGGCTGCTCTTAACTGCTGAGCCATCTAGCTGGCCGTTATGATTGGTATTGTTCTCGTTGTTTTGAGAGACGGACTCTCTATGTAGCCTGGGCTAACCTAGAACTTGTTACATAGACCAGGCTGACCTTGAAGTCAAAGAAATTCACCTGCCTCTGCCTCCCAGGTGCTGGGATTTAAGGCTTGAGCCACCAGATCTAACTGTGTATTAAAGGCTACCTACTATAAATATAGCCCTTCTCCCATGGTTAGTCACTAAATCATTATAGTTCTCATTATTACAGTTAACGAAGAGGTTCATGCCTTTGTTCTTCTGGTTTCTGTATGATTCCTGGAGGTGAAGTCTTAGATTCTTAGCATAACATTGCTGGGATTTTTTGGTCATATTTATGACCATAAAAAAACATACTGAAAAAAAAAAAGCCCTCCCTTTTAAAAAGCAGTATTAAAGATAAAGAACCAGCACCTGCCAGGGAGAGGCCACCTGGGTGAGGAGATCAAAGTCATCTGTTTACCAGGCTACGTGTGACATCAGCTCCCCTGCTGAGGGACCATCAGTGACAGGAACTGCAGTGTCTCTTCTTCCAGGAAGACGCAGTGGACACCAGGTGGAGAACCTGAGCTTTTACCCCTGCTTGACCTATTGATAGTAATCAGGCCCCTCCCCTCCAGGGTTGGGGCAGTGAGAAGTCAGAGCTTCTGGTGTGCCCAGAAGGGAAGTTAAACTCTTATCCCCAGATAGCAGGACTAAGGCACTTGCCTCACCTCGTGCTAGACGCCATCACAGGAAACCAGCTAAAACATGACTTAAGTAACCCAGAGCTTTTTCATGGTACTGTAAACATACCAAATCAACTGAATATCACCCAAAAATATCAAGCTGGATGGACAAAAGCAACCAACATATTCTGATAGATGTTAGAATTACCTGACTGCAAAGGTAACTCTACAACTACACACCCAAACAATCTGAAGCAAAACAGCATGGCAAAGCTACAGAAAAGCTAAACAAAGAAATAGAAGATAAAAAGAACCCGAGAAGAAATCTCAGGGCTGAAAAGTAGCTTAGAAACACAGAAGTCCCATAAAGAAGAGAGGATACAAGGGCTGAATGAACAGCAAGGAGTGGACATCACCAGTGTGTGCAAGAGTATGTTTGGTATTTTCTCATGGCAGTGACCAAATGGTGGCAGATGGTAGGAGGAAGCGTTTACTTCAGGTCACAGTCCAACATGGCAGGGAAGGTACAATGGAGTCCATGGCAACAGAGCCTGGCTCTCCTCACAGCTCAGTGCACTGGACCAGAAGCAGACCAAGGGAAACGCTCCCTGTTCCACGGGCTTCCCTCCTTTCCTGTTTGTTTGTTTTTGTTTTGTTTTTTGTTTTTTGGGTTTTTTTTTTCCTTTCCTGTTTTTGATTCAGACTCTCAGCCCAGGCTGTAGGATGGTGTCACCTGCCATGTTCAGGGCAGGACGTTCATCCTTAATTCAGCCTCTGGGGAAAGATCTTCACAGGAAAAACTCCAAGGTAAATGTCATTAATACCCTTGGTACTTTTAATCCAATCACACTGGCAATCAAAAGTAATCATCACTGAAGACAGAAAAAAAGGCTGAGAGAATTTAACAGAGCCTTTTGTACAAAAAGAAGCAAACCAGTACTCATGGACTTGGATCCTGAAAGACTAGAAGCTAGAAATACACTTGAGGGCCTAACTGGGGAGATTCCAGCTTTTTAAAAAGATAAAACCTACAGATTAATGGTAACTGAACTCCAAATGAGAGAATCCTAAGGGTACCCAAGGCATATGACCGAATTACTAAAAGCTAAAAACAAAGAAAATGTCTTAAAACAATGACAGTAATGACATCTTATCTCAAAGAAAAAGCAACTTGAGTGATACAGATTCCTTACTGGGAACAATGAGAACCAAAAGGGAGAAGGACGGTGATGCTGAAGGGAAAGAACTGTGAAGGTACAATCCCACGGCCCCCGACCTGTCAGCAATCAGCAAATGTAAAAATGGGGCAGCATTACAGATGAGTTCTACCCAACGATAAGGAAGAATACAATTGTGTCACGTGCAGAAAAATGAGTAGGACTGGAGTTTACAGTAAGCAAGATAAGACAGACCAAGGCAAGCATGTCTTTCTCAAATGGAAATCTCGTGTCATGTGTATTTCACCACAAGAAACAAAGTAGAGCAAAAAAAAATTAGAGAGAGCCGAGGGCTCACTCCACCAAGCCTGACAGCATCAGTTGGATCCCTGAGACCCACACTATGGAAGGACAGAACCAGCTACTGAAAGTTGTCCTCTGACTTCCACACGTGTACTGCATGCATGGAGGACAGCTGCATGTTCTCTCTATCATACAGACACACACACACACACACACCTTTTGTAGGATTTATGGAGAAAAACTGGAGAGGTTTCTCAGTGGTTAGAGCACCTGTTCTCTTCAGAAGACTCAAGTTTGAGTCCCAACTCCCACACAGCAGCTCAGGACCAAATCCCCTGTAACTCCAGCTTTGGGACTCCGACTCCCTCTTCTGACCTTCCTGGCCATGCCCATAGTGATATACATATGTACAAGAAAAATAGTCACATACATAAAATAAAAATGATTTGATAAAGATTTATGGAGAAATCAAAAAACTCTTTAAAAATTATTTTAAGTGTATGCTCGAGTTACAGGGGGTTGTGAGCTGCTTGGTAGGTACAGGCAATGCATGCTATGCCACAGAGTATAACCGTGGAAGTCAGTTCTTTCCTTCCTCCATGCGAACTAGGGATCTAACTCAAGTCACATATCATCTACATACGCAGAGACATATGTTCTAAGAGAAGATTTTGTTGTATTGAGCACTAACAGACTCATGGAAAAGCTCAGGCAGGATCCATAACAACTTGTCCCTAGCTTGGCAGGCATTGTTAATAAATTAAAAGAAATTAATTAAATTAGTTAATACAAATAAATTAAAGGAAAGGAGGCTTTTATAAATTCCAGATATCTTAAAAAACAAAAGGGTCATTCAGTAAAATGAGCAACAGAAAAGATTCAGAAATGCCATGGGATCAAAAGTTCAAGTACAAAATAAATAGTGTATGTGTCTATATACACAGACACACACACACATATGAGGGAGGGAGAGAAAGTGTGTGTGTATCTATGTGTGCATGCCTTTATGTGTCTATATATGTATGTATGTATGTATGTATGTATGTATGTGCCTGTGTATCTGTGAATATTTGTTTGTGTGTATACATTTGTGTGTATGTGTGTGTGTCATGTGATTTTGTATCACAGCCTAAAATATTTAAGTGGACTTGTTTTATATTTTCCAGGTGTCATGTTAACTTCTCCAGCAGGGATAAACAAACATCCACTCACCCCCAATCAGGTACCAACAGCAGACAAAGAGATGATTCCACTCAACTCTAGCTTGGTGAACTAGTGAGTTTGACTGCAGATATTCATAGGAACAAGGGTGAAGGTTCACCTACAGAAGCAGGGACAACATATGGGTACCTACACCACAGAGAGAAAGTCTGCCACTCCCCAGAGCTATGTCTATCTATGTGTCCTGGTTGAAAGCATGGCTTTGTGAAGCCCTTAGACACTTGTGGTCATTCATTTTTCTGCCTTGTGAACCTCCCTCTCTTGCAAGAGGGAATGCTACCAGGTCCAGTCTTGACAGGGATGTTGGTAGCCACAGCTACTCTGACTTAGAAGTCAGCAGCCATGCCATGCCAGAGGACAAGTCCTACACTAGCTAACCGCCATGCCAGAGGACAAGTCCTACTGTAGCTAACCGGCAGCAAAGCACTGTTGCAGCTACCCTCCCATCTTCAAGCTTCCCAATGCAAGCACTGATAGATGACATAGTTGGAACATCCCTTGAATAGGGATACACTCATGCACAGCACAGAATCTCAGGTGAAATCTCTATTACAACGACAGCAGCAGCAGGTGTGACTCACATCCATGGCTTTCTTGAACTGTGAGTTCTTTTGTTTGTGAGCAGCTTCCATTATCGTTTCTGTCTGTAAAAGAGAATACAGGCACTGTCAATAAAACCCATAAGTTACTGCTAACAGCAGCTTGTCTTGGGGGCTAAGCCTTCAATGTGGGTTTTCCGGTTTAGTCCTCGAAACACCCAGAAGCTGGGTGTGCTATTTATTATCCCCGCCTCACAAATGAGGACAGTAAAGAACAGAGGCTCACAGCCTAATGATTGTGACATGACCATGTTCCCCTGCTAATGACTCTGCTTGTCATTTAAGCATTCACACAGCCGACCCTGAATACTCAAGATATGACCAGGAACTCACTGGTCACCACGGAATGCTTTCCTCTGTGAATCTAGAATCAAAGAAATTTGGTTTCAAGAAGGAATACTAAATTTTTATTAAAATACCATTTGTATTTTAAAAGAGTCTTTGTTCCAGAAGCTATGTCAGCACAGGCAAATTATGTACTCAACCTCTACTCTGTGACCCCACATGACAAATGCTTTATAGCAAGTTGCTGGGAGACAACAGAAGTGTCTGTAGCATTACTAATAGAAACTCTTCTATGGTCCTTTGCTTCATCTAACCCAACAAGGTATCTCCACGCAGTTCCCTTGATCACGGTGTCTTCATTGTAGTTGTGATGGCTGGACATTTGTTAGTCAAATTTATAACAGAGATTACTTATGATAAGTACCTCCCATTATCCAGCACTGCTACATGCAACAGTTTCATGCTCACAGTATCTCTTCTGTGTAAGTGCCTCACCTCCATTTTCCTGATGGCAATGAACTTTGTGAGCTCAAAAAACAGAGTCAGTGTGGAGGTCTGAATGAGGATGGCCCTCATAGGCTCACATATTTGAATGCTTAGTTCCCCTTTGGTGGAACTGTTTGGGAAGGATTAGGAGGTGTGGCCTTGTTTGGAGGAGGTGTGTCACTGGGAGCAGGCTTTGAGCCCACACCATTTTCGGCTAGCTTTCTCTCGGCCTCATGGTTGTTATCTTAACAGTAACCACTCAGCTTCTGCTCCAGTGTCATGCCTGTCTGTCTGTTGCCATGTCCCCTGCCATGAAGTCATGGATCATCCTGTAAAGCTGTAAACAACAAACTTTTTCTTCTCTAAGTTGCTTTGTCTGTGGTATCTGCACCTCAATGGAAAAGCAACTAAGACAGTCAATAAATAAGAAAGCTACATTGCTGGAAAGTGGCGACATATGAATCACCACAAGAGACAGCCGTGGCTTTTCAGGATATTTTGATGAAATATGTAGGGTGGTCTCACTTCAAATGGGATAAATGAAATTCCCTCAAGGGAGCTTGAAGGAGCCCAGAATTCACCTTCTAGCTTTTCTCTGAAAGAGAGATAGCAGGAAGTAGCTATTCCTCTGCAGAGGAGGAAGACAATGCAGGTACAGTGACATGCTCCAACATGAGTCCTACATGGACACAAGACCCATGACAAACCCTGGCCACAGCTGCTAGGGAGCTGAGGTTCATGTAACTGACTAGGTGGCTCTACCAGCAAGAGTTAGCTGTACTCCTTAAATAATTACAGCTGTTTTCCCAAGGCTACTTGAGCAGATCAATTAGGTGTGCTGGGCTTAGCCATGACCCTTTTACTCCAAATAAACACTCTGTTACTTGTCTAGTTGATTGTCGACACTAGTTTATCATTGACAGCCCAAAATGTCTCCTTATCTCTCCGTTCTATATAGCATCTACTTTAGATGCTTCTCAGGGCTGAGTGACTTACACTACCTCTTCACTTCCCATCATCCCCCTCTGCCTTCACAGGCACACCAGCATTTGAAAGTTGTCAAGATCCTAAAAAGCAGCCATTGACTCTAAGGAGATACAGGCAATTTCTGGTCACTGGGGTGACTTGAATTGTTCAAGACCACTCAGACAGAATTAGTGGCTTCATGTTAGGCCCATCCCTATCTGCTAAGGAACCTTGACCTAAGTCTTCTGCCCATCGTCACTTCCAGGGTGACCCACTCACAGTGACCTCAGTGAGTCCAAATTCTCTTCAAGGTGCTTGGAATTGGGGGGTCAGGGGGGATTCATCCAGGACTTGGATTTTCTGCTCAGACCAAATCTAATGTGAATGTGTTTTATTATTGATAACACAGGATGCAAAAAACCTCAACTATGTCATCTACAAGGTCAAAGAGGAGGAGGAAGGGGAAAAGAAATAAGAGATTTTAGAAAGACCCAAGTAATTCTGAGGTAGCTTACTGAGAACGAGGTTCAAGGACTACCTCCGTGCCCTGCCCACCTCCAGGAATGAAAGGTTAGCCTCTCATTACCTCAGCAGTGGCTTCTAACTTCTGGCTTTATCATAACAAAGATTTCCTCCAGGAGGCTTCACCAACCCCAAGTGAGGTTGTATGTCCCTACCGGATGGTGAGATGGGACTTCCCCTACCACTGTGTAAGACTGTCATATTTTATCCTGATTTTGTGTCACATGAGTCTGTCTGACTATGTGCTGTGCTTAGTAGAAGGATAACATGTCCACCTTGGGGCCCATCCTCAAGAAAACACTACTTGTAGGCGTAAGGCGTAAGCAGCTATAAATGTCTAACCAGCCATCCTTCCCACCTCTCCTGTGCCCCAGTTTACTAAAGAAATTAGTTAGGGAACCAATAAAACATTTCAGTAGATACAGACACTTGCTGTCAGGTCTGATAATGTAAATTTAATCCCCAGCACCCACACAGTGGGAGAAGAGAGCCACCTCTTACAAGCTGTCCTCTGATTTTCACATATACACCATTGCACATACACGCATACATGCATCAGATGCATGTTTGTGCTCGAGCATACACACACACAGACAGGGTCACAGAGATCAGAAAACAGGACTAGAATGATGACTCAGCAATTAAGAGCACTCTTTGCAGAGGATCTGGGTTCAATTCCAGTTTACACATAACATCTATAGCTCATAACATCTGTAACTCCTGTTCAAGGGAATCTCTGACATCTCCGTGTAACCTCCACAGGCATCAGACACACATGTGGTATGTAGACATATGAAGATGAAACACTAATAGATGTAAGATAAAGATTGTTGCCGGGCAGTGGTGGCGCACGCCTTTAATCCCAGCACTTGGAGGGCAGAGGCAGGTGGATTTCTGAGTTTGAGGCCATCCTGGTCTACAGAGTGAGTTCCAGGACAGCCTGGTCTACACGGAGAAACCCTGTCTCAAAAAAAACAAAAAACAAAAAACAAAAAAAAGATAAAGATTGTTTTGTTTTGTTTTGTTTTGTTTTGAGACGGAGTTTCACTGGCTTTCCTGGAACTCACTGTGTAAACCAGGTGGGCCTTGAACTCACAGAGCTCTGCCTGCCAATGCCTGGGATTAAAAGCTTGTACCACCACACCTGGTTAAAGATAACTTTTTTTTTTAATCTAAAAGATATATTTTTTTAAAGGCAGGAAACATTCTACTTAAAAGTTTTTTTTAATAAATCAGTAAATTAGGTATGGAGACACAGCTCAAGTACAATACCTTACTTGCCTAACATAACTGAGACCATAACCAGCAGCATGAGAGAAGAAGAAAGACAGGCAAGAAAAGCAAGCACCAGACTAGTGCCTGTGATAAGTGGAAGTGGCTCCATTTCCAAGAAGTGGAAGACCAGAGATGCAGAGTGACAATCTGTAAAAGGGAAGTTAGCATTGGCACATTTTTCCCCCTAAAATAGACTAAAAAAAAAAAAAAAAGTTACTCAAACTCACCCCAGAGTTCATTGTGAAACACATAATACAATTTTCTTAGTAAACTTTGGACTTTTCAGTGTTTTGAAAGTGTCTCCTGCAGCAAATGGAACTTCAGCTGAGCATTTGCTGCTCTGCTGCTGCTCTGATGCCAACCCCGGGGTCTATGCAACATTAGTGGGGAATGTTCCAGGAGCCATGCAGAGCTGGCTGGCTTCCCACCAGGGCCAGGGCTGCTAAGTCCACCTGATGATGTGGAGGAACACCTCCTTTAGGGGAATCATCCATGCAAAGCCTAGTTGACTTAGGTATTACACTCTTTTTAAGTTTTTCCCTGTTCCACACAAGACATGATATCTCTTTAACTTTTTAATTATTTCTTTTCTTTCTAACCTTTTGAGACAAGGCCACACTGAGTAACTCTCCCACTGGCCTGGAACCAGACTTATCCTTGAATTCACAGGACCAGACTGCCTCTGTCTCCAAGGTACAATATATATATTTAATTGTATGTCTATGACTCCCTGTCTGCCAGCATGTGCATGTAAATGCATGTGTCATGGAGGCCAGAAGGATCGTAAGCCCCTGGAGCTGATTTACAATTGAGCCATCTACCATGGATGCTGAGACATGAACTAGATCCCTGTAGTGGCAGTATACCCTCAACTGCTGAGCCATTTTTCCAACCCCCAAGTTATTTTGCTGTCATTTCAGCCAGGTGTGGTGGCACATGCCTTTAGTTTCAGCACTCAGGAGGCAAAGACAGGTGACTCTCTGTGAGTTCCAGGACAGCCAGGGCTATGTAAAGAACCCTGTCTCAGAAAAAAAGAAAAGAAGAGAGGAGAGGAGAGGAGAGGAGAGGAGAGGAGAGGAGAGGAGAGGAGAGGAGAGGAGAGGAAAGGAGAGGAAAGGAGAGGAAAGGAGAAGAGAGGAAAAGGAAGGAGAGTAAATAAAAGAAAGAAGAAAAATTGTCACTTCAGGGCTGGAGAGAACTAGCCATTTAGAGGACCCAAGTTTGGCTCCAGCGCCCATGTCAGGTCATTCACAAACACCTGTTAAATCCAGTTCCAGGGGATTCAATGCCTCCATGAGCACCCGCACACAGGTGCACAAATCCACACACAGACACACATGTTCAGCATAATTAAAAATTAAAAAAATATTCTTTGTGGCTAGGGAACAAGGGAGGGGTCCAAAGTGGGCAGTTAAGAGAGGCTGGAGAGGAAAGGGTGGGGGAGAGTGATGTAGTTCATTTCAGTTAAAAACATATTTCAAGTGAGTTCCAGGACAGCCAGGACTACACAGAGAAACCTCTCGAAAAACAAAAACAAAAACAAAAATATTTCAAAATGATAAATTAAAAAGTAACTTTTAAAAAGTCTGGTGCTGGGCATGGTGGTGCATATCTTTCATCCGAGCACTAGGGAGCCAGACAGAAGCATCTCTAAGAGTTAGAGGCCAGCCTGAAGATATAAGAGTTGTAGGGCAGCCAGAGCTACACAGGGAAACCTCATCTCAAAAGAAAACAAAACCTGTAATTTCCTAAAAGAGATGACAGATTTGGCAATGTCAGACGAAAGGGTGAGTGTGCCACACACGATAATTCTGCTTGGAATAAGCATCTGGGAGAGATGCGATCGTCTGAGAGAATGTGTGAAAGGGTTTGATACAGCATGAGTTCGTTAACTGCCTGTGTCCATCCTTCCTTCATGGTAAGAGACATTGCGCAAGCGCTGACTAAGAAACAGGAAGAGGCGTTGCTGTGCAACCAGCAGCTCTTAAGCTGGGCGTCGCAGCACATTTCTGTAGTCCTGGCCCTCTTGAGTGGGAAGCAGGAGACTAGGCTAGATGGTAAGTGGGAGGCCAGCCTAGGCTTCATGAGACCCTGTCTCGATCAAACAAAGGAAAAACTCAGCTCATGAAATTATGGCAGACATAAGACAGAGAGGCCCTTAGGTTACTGTGGGCAAACTCAGAGCAACCCAGATTCCAACTTGAAACTGCAGGCAAAGTTGCTCATCTTAAGCAGTTAGGGTAGGAATCAGCCTTAATTCTGGCTGTGGATGGATGGGCAAAAACTGTAAAAACAATCAGCTATAGTCAAAAGCTAGGATACAGCAAGGATTTCACAGGGACCTCCGGGAAGGACAACAGGTCCCCAAATGTCCACAGAAACCAGAATAGAAATCTTTGGTGTCAGCCTTCCAGTCTTGAAAGACATTCATTCTTGTGAGAGCTCTAATTGGCTAAAGTCTGCATGTACAGGTTTTTCAGGAACAAAATAATAAAAATTGTGGCTGCTCTGGCCTAAATAAAATTATAATATAAACTTGGATTTATTTCTGGATTCCTCTAAGTCACCGAACATTTACACCTTTGATTCCATCACTTAGGAAGAAGAAAAAAAAAAAGGTGGATCTCTGAGTTGAGGCCAGCCTGGTCTACAGAATAAGTTTCAGCTAAAGATACATAAAGAAACCCTGTCTCAAAAAATCAAAACCAGAAAAAGAGTCTCGTGGCTGCTGGAGAGCTGGCTGAGGAGTTAACACCATTGGCTGCTCTTATAGAAGACCTGGGTTCAGTTCCCAGCATCCACAGGAGGCTCACAATAGCCTGTAACTCCAGATCCAAGGTTTTTAATGCCCCCTTCTGTTCCACGGGCACCAGGTATACATATGGCGCACACATACATGTAGACAAACAATCATACACACAAAATAGCAATGAATGCATGTTTAAATAAAAAGGAACCTCTCCAGAGCTGCTGTGAAGACAAACCAACTTGAATTCCCCAGGGCCATGGTTTCTCTAGTGACAGAATAGGATTATGCTACAGCATCATGAACTTCAAGGAAAGTGCGAATCTCCTCCAGTTCTTCACCCTCCTCTATGACCTTGCTTAGGAGGGGTGTGATCTGGAGGCTCAGTAGCTAGGATGTGCTAGATCCTGATGATGGGGGTAAAGGAACCTCCAGCCATCTTTTTAGCAGGGGCAGTCGATCTGAAAAGAGGAGAGTCGCACACAGAACACTGAGTCACACAAGAATTTTACCCAAGTTCTTGGCATTTGAACTCGCACCCTCATGTTTGTATGAGAAGCGCTTCACTAACTGAACTATTTCTCCAGCACTTCTGCAAGTATAAAGGGAAGACTGGCCTGACGTACAGGACACACACTCCTAGACTGAGTCTCTACATGGACACTCCAATATGCAATTTCTCAAGCCAGAAAAAGTTTATGATTATATCAGAGGTGAGAACCAAATTGAGGCTGTTTGGGGATTTTGTTTGTTTGCTTTTTGTTTTTGTTTCTTGTTTGGTTGTTTAGTTGTTTTTGAGACAGGATCACACTGTGTAGCTCTGGCTGTCCCACTGTCCTGGAACTCACTATGTAGACCAGGCTGGCTTCCAACTCACAGAGAGCTCTGCCTACCTCTGCCTCCCAAATGCTGAGCAATTTCCAAACAGACATGCCTGAGATTTCTCCGTAGAAGAAAGGTGATATTGGAACACACGCACAAAACCAACCTTTTTCCTCTGCAGCTTCTGTCTTTCCCTGAACTCTTCCATCTTCCTGGCCTCTTCTCTTAGAGTCTGTGCAAGTTGAATGTGGCACTGAGCCACATTGTCTACTTCTGTAAAAAGAATTTGTAAACAAAGTCAATGTCCACACGTGTCTAAACTCAAATATACACACAACTATTCAAAACTACACATACAGATCTGGGGCAAGAAGCAAAATTAAGAATAATTCTCTTGGTCATTAATACACATTGAGGTCCTTCTTGTGCCCAACATGGCCCTAGATATCAAGGCCAAAGCTTCGTCTTTAGCTCAGCTTCTTGTCACTAACTGTTACTACCCCAGTGTATGCCCAGGGCTTGGGGATGGGGTTACACAGCCAAGATTCCTACTCAATAACCTTATATCCTGATTAGATTTCATTGTCAACTTGACATGACCTAGAACCACCTGGGAAGAGAGTCTCGATGAAGGACTGTTAGCCTATGGGCACATCTGTGGATGGCTGTCTTAATTAAGTTAACTGACAATGAAATTCCCAGCCTACCGTGGGCAGCACCATTCCCTAGTCAGGAACCTTGAATTTTATAAAAGTGGAGAAATCCAACTGAGCACAAGCAAGCAAGCAAGCGAGCAAGCGGGCAAGTGAGCAAGTTCGTGGGTGAGCTGGGAAGCAGAAGGTGGGCGGGCAGGCGAGCATGCGTATAACAACCATTACTCTCTGTTCCCGCCTATGGATGTGATGAACTCCCTCCCATGATGGGCTGCAACTGTAAGCTGAATAGACACTTTCTCCCTAATTTCTTGTCAGAACAGTTTATCATAGCAAGAGAAATAGAACTAGAGCATCGCTAAGACCACAATTTCAAATTAAATTCCTCAACCTCTCTATACAATCTCTGAGTGACTCCTATCTCTGGCCTCTAATGAGCTTAAACATTTATCAAAAGCTCACACAATATTTTGACTTCTGACAATTATTTGTCACTATAAGAGAAAGGACAGGAAAAAAAACATATTTTGCTCAAATTAGGCTGATTATGGTTTATGCACACCCTTAATCCCAGCAATTGGGAGGTATTGGCAGAAGCAAAGCCAGCTTGATTTACATAGTTCTAGGACAGGTAGGCCTTCATGGAAAGAAACTGTCTCAAATAAACAAACAAATACCCAAAACCTAACAAATTAAAGCATGCCATTAAGGCTAGAAAGACTGACCTAAGAAAAACTTGAATTTTTTAAATCTGTGTGTGTGTGTGTATGTGTGTGTGTGTGTGTGTGTGTACATTGTCTATGTATGTCAAGAACACAGTGCATGTGTAGAGGTGAGAGGAGAAATTTGAGGGTCAGTTCTCCCCACCATCCACCTTGTTTGAGACGGAGTCTCTTGGTTGTTGCCACTATGCACACCAAGCTAGTCAACCCATGAGCTTCTGAGACTTCTCTTGTTCCTGCCTGGGATACAGACAGGCACTATCATATCTGGTTTTATGTGTGTTCCTGGGATATGAACTTCAGTCTTGACAAATACCTACTGAGCCATCCCTCAGGTCATTAAAAAAATAATTTTAACTTGTACTATTAAAATAACTTTGTAAGTTAGAAGATAAACACACACACACAAGAAACAAAGTTAGCAACTCATATAGCAAAGAATTATGTTTAAAACACTTTCACAAATGCTCAGCCCTAAGTGAGGTGTTCAAATCCCACCCCTCTCTCTGCAAGGGTCGGGGATCTGTGTGGAATCAGGGGGATGGAAAGATTTAAGAGCCAGAGTTGCTGGATGATACGATAAAGCAGACACACTAGAAACTCAAGAAGACTTGGCAGCACACACAAGGTCTGCACAATCTCAAGCTAAACAAAATCCCAGTGCAGAGGAAGAGAAGTGGGCACTAGGTCCCACTCCTAGCCAAGAAGCCATTCCCAGTGGATAGCCTCTGGGAGAGAGAAAGTCAGTGTGTCCATGAACAGGGTGATGCTGGATGTCAGACACACTCCAGGACAGCCAAGCCTCAGGTGTAGTTCCCCAACACAAATTGGACTCATGGGGTTTTGTTTTTATTTTTAAGAAAGAGAAGAATATAAAGTTGGGTGTTAGAGAGGTGAGGGAGAATCTAGGAGAAAGAATATGATCAAAGAATGAATAAAAATATTATTAAAGATACAGTTGAGGCTGGAGAGGTGGCTCAACAGTTAAGAGCGCTAACTGCTCTTCCAGAGGTCCTGAGTTCAATCTTCAGCAACCACATGGTGGCTCACAACCATCTGCAATGGGATCCAATGCCCTCTTCTAGTGTGTGTCTGAAGACAGCTGCAGTGTACTCATATAAATAAAAAAATAAATCTTTTTTAAAAAAAGATACAGTTGGAAGCTCAACCTGGTTATTCTATATATTAATTATTCTTAAGTAGAGTTCATTTTAACTCTAAATATTCTTTTAAGTCCCACTTACCCTGTCTTTTGGGGTTTTTTTTGGGGGGGAGGAGTTGGGGAAGTTCAAAACAGGGTTTCTCTGTGTAGCCCTGGGTGTCCTAGAACTCACTCTGTAGACCCAGCTGACCTCAGACTCACAGAAACCCACCTGCCTCTGCCTCCTGTACGGCAGGATTAAAAGTGTGGGCCACCACCACCCAGCTTTTGTCCCATATTTTGACATAACATTTTCACCATCAGTCAATTTGAGTATGTTGACATTGCTACTTTTTTTTCTTTTTCCCTCAAGTCATTTAGGCATATTTTTCAGATTACATATATGTGTGTGTAAGTATAGTTTCTAAAGTACTCTGGTTATAATTTATTTTTATTTAACTGTACTAAGTTTAGACAAGCTAGATTTGTACACTGTTAGTGGGTCATCTGGTATACATTAGGCCTCTAAACACCATCGTTATTCTAGTACTGTTATATGAATACCTTATGTATCTTAAGGTGTAATTTCATCTTTTTGTTGGACACAAATGGATCTATATGCCTTTTGGTTCAAAATAGATGATTAGATTCTTCAAATGTTTCATATATTTACTTTACTGCTTTAAATTATCAGTTTCTAGGGAAAAAACTAGATTAAAATTCCCAGCTTTAAAAAAAAGCACTTTCACAAGTAAAGAAGAAAGTATATGTGTATATATATGTGTGTATATATGTATATGTGTGTGTGTGTGTGTATACACTCTTACATATACGATATATTAAAAAATTACTTAATGTCAAATTCAAAAGACTCAACAAATGGAGAATGCAACCCTGAAAAACTCATCTGGACTTAAGGATACTGAAAAGGGCAAACACAGCACATTTCATTGCTTTTAATCTTTCAGCTTTGAAAAAATTATAGAAGCAAAACACCTCTAGATGCTGGTGATATTTGGAAAAAGTGTCACTGTTGGCAGGGGAAATGGAACACACTTTTTGGAGAAAATCTGGCATTTTGGATGGTAAACTATTTTTTAATGTAAACTAATGAGGCAGAAGTCTATGAACTGAGGTAGATATTAAATAGCCAATTCTAGAGAAATATGATAGTGTACGTCTATATAAAAATACTCATATCAAAGTTTGTATGAAGAATTAAAATAAAGGTTGGGAGCTGAGGAGACTGGTTAGGAGCTGCTCTTGCAGGGGACCTGAGTTCCTTTCTGTAGAGTGAGCTGTCTTACTTGAACTTTAAATATATTACATATAGTTATATATACTAAATTAAATTATATTAAATTTAACATTCAATATATTATTTTAATGAGAAAAAATAAAGCAGTTGAGGGCTTTTTGGTTTGCTTTGTTAGCTGTTACTTGGACATAGCCTCTTGCCCGGCTCCCCAGGCTTCCCTGAGAACTCACAGCCCTCCTGCTCTGCCTCCTGAGTGCTAAGATTGCAAGGATGTGTGACCACAACAGAAAGAAGGAGATGGAAAGAAACAGGAGCAGAAAAGGAACGTGCTGAGGTGAGTCAGGCTATGCTGATGCTCTCTGCTTCAGGACACTTGGTTCCTCGGTATTTCTGTAAATAAGGAACATGGGAAGACACTGCAACTACATCAAGAAGCAGATACGTCACTGAAATAAGTCTGTGGAGATGTTGAAAGGCATATTTATTTACCTACCTTTTACACCTGTAGCACTGTGGTATGTGTGTGTCGTATTGATTTTATCACAATGTGTGTGTGTGTGTGTGTGTGTGTGTTTGTATGTGTGTGTATGTATCTATGGTATGTATGTATGTATGTTTTATCTCACTGCTGACTTGCCCAATGAAGATAGTGAAACCAATCTGCCTCTGCCTGTAGTAGGCCATAAAGAAATTCTGTCTCCTCTGGTAGTCGGGCAAAGGCCCCAGTTCCCTCCAGAGGGGCCCCGCCCCATGCCCTATAGGTAAAAATGATACACTATAGGATCAGGAAGACTCAACTTAACAGGCTAACAAGTGTGCCTACCCAATGACGTCTCCACAAAAAGCAAAACAGCTATAGCTTTGAGAGCTTCCTAATAGCCAAGTAAGTGGAGATCAGCGAGAGAGCGATGTGCTCAGACCAAAAGCATGCCTGAAGCCTGCTGGACCCATTCCTGCACTGTGCGCTCAGAGAGGGAATGAGAGCGCCTCACGTCCCCTTTCCACACCTCACTGTCCACACCTCACTGAAGCCATTTCCCTTTCGACAGTCTTTATCTTGAACAAACAAGTGTAATTCTTTCCCTGGGTTCTGGGAGCTTCCAGGGTAAATGAATGGAAGCAAATGTGGGCGGTGGAAGCCTGAGCTGTAGGCACAGTGGAGACAGGCTGGGAGCCTCCAGACAGGTATCCACAGTGGGAACTGAGCTTTCAGCCTAGAGGACCCAACTGCCTCCAGGTTGGCAGTGTGGCAACCCAACTGGATTAAAAGACACTGGCTAGTGTCCTCTGCAGAAGAGATTGCACGGTTGCTGCAGGGGAAAGCCTCCCGTGTGGTGGGTTAGAAATCTCCTTGTTATTACAGTCATCTTGAGGCGTGACAGTGAAGGACACAGATAGCAGAAGTTCTGTTAGAACAGCACTCAATTAGCCACAGGAATACTTCAGGCATAAGTCATACACACTGTGACTTTTGACACCTTTCACCTGGCAATCCCCTGTGAGGAAGGGCAGAAAGCCCCAGAAGCAGGTTCTAAACAAAAGGCCTGAGAGCACTGAGCTGGGCAGGACTCCTTCAAAAGCAACGTGACAGGTCTCAGCCCAAACCTCCCAGTTCCTGATTGTCACCACATCACTGTAACTAATAAAAATCTGCTGGTGTCATTCCAAGTCAGACTCACAACCAAACGAAGACAACAGCAATGGACAGGCCAAGATGGGCATCAGGACTCACCCCTGACACACCCTGGACTAGAGAGACATTGCTGGTATCCTTTGAGACAGCAGATTTAGGGGAGTGTGGAACCATGTGCCAAGTTACAATCAAGTTGCAATAAGAGGAAAGAATGACCAGGTGGTATGTTCTTTGAAGATTGTCATTAATTTAAAATGTCTGTGGAGCTGGGGTCACTGGGTAAAACAGTGGCCGAGCAGGTCTGATGACCGAGCAAGGTCCAGAGAACCATGAAAAAGGCCGGAAGTGGTGCCATACATCTGTGATACAGTAGTACTCCCAGAGAGATGGGGGCAGTGATGGGAGACTCTCCCAGAAGCTGTGACTGGAGCCCTGAAGTGTCTCTGGGAAGAGAAAAGCCTTAAGAACACATAAGGACTTGGGTGAGTCTGGCTGAATCAGGTAGAGTAGAGGCAAGCATTCTGAGGTAAAGCAGGGCAGAACGTACTTACACGGTGTTACTCCCATTTGGAAGCTAAGAGCCTGTAGAATCCCAGCCCTACCCCAAAACTCCCCAGTTGGAAACTCAGTGGGCCCGTGAATCTGTGCTAACCGCAGCTTTCCAAGTGACAGGCGGGTGTGAAGCGTCTGGAATGTGCAGTGGCTGTAGCCCATTTCTACTCTGCAGAGTCATTTCTCACCTCGTGGCTATTCTGATTTTTTTTTCCTAACTCTAAATTGCTATTTAAATTAGAACTCATCTTAGAAGAAAGACATGGAATTTACAAAGGGCAGAAAATACAGTGTTATACTAGGGGTTAGCATGATGGTTCAGCGGTTAGCGTACTGGCTACTCTTCCAGAGGCCCCATGTTCAATTCCAAGCACCTATGTGGTGATTGACAATCACCACCATAATTCCAATTCAAAGGGATTTGATGCCTTCTTCTGGCCTCTATGGGCACCAGGCACACACAGTACACAGACATAAATGCAGCAGGCAAAACACTCAGACACATAAAATATAATATTTTTAAATAATTAACTTACGCTGCTTGAAGACCTCAAGGGCTCTCTTCAAAGTACTGAAAAACAACATACATAATTTCAATTCTAGAAATCGTCTATATAATTTTATTACAATATTTGCACATGCTTCCCTGTGCCTACAGATTATCATGGAGGCTCCAGATTCACTTGTGTTCCTGAGTTTCAGAGACAGCAAAAGACCATAACTTAAGGCAAACCTCATCACTCACAGGCATAGACAGTTCTTCAGTGTTCTCCCTGAGCAGAGCAAAATGCAGAAACTCTGCGTTTTTCCTTCCCCAATGGAAATATAGTAATCGTGATCCCTTTCTCCTAAGAGCCTGCTGCCATCTGAATATGAAAACAAAGCCATCTAATAGACAGCTCAAATCCTAGTGAGTTTCTGTGGGGTGTGTGTATGTGTGTTTGTGTACGTATGTCTGTGTATATATGTGCATGTGATTATGTGTGTGTATGTATTTGTGTATATATGTGTGTGTATGCCTCCGTGTGTACATCTGTATGTGTATGTGTGTTTGCCAGTGTGAAGACAGCATCTCACACAACCCAGGCTTGCTACGTAGCTGAAGCTGGCCTTAAACTCTTAACCCCCCTGCCTCCACTTTTCAAGTGCTCGGATTACAGACAGGTTCATCACTATCCCCAGCTCGAACGCTGAGCCACACTTACAATCTACTCTCAGTTCTTTTTAAGAAGACAATACATTGCTGTTAACTACAGACGCGATGCTGTATAACAAATCTCTTGAACGTATTTCTCCTAACTAAAACCTTCATGCCCTTTTTCCTTTCCATGCCATGTGTCCTGTGCATGTGTGTGAGCGTGCATGTCTCCACATGTGTGGGCACGTATGTGAGTACACATGTGTATGCATGTGAAGGAAGGCCTGAGGTTGAAGCTGATATTGGGAATCATTCTCCGGCACTCTTCTGCTTCATTCACAGAGGCAGGGTCTCTCAATCAAACCCAGAGTTCACTGATACAACCAGTCTCTCTATACAGTTTATGCTGGGGATCCCCTGTCTCCAGCTTCTCCAGTTGGAATTAGAGGCATGTTTCCATGCCCATCCAGCATGCACAAAGTTTCTGGGGACTGAGCTATGGTCTTCATGTTTGCACAGCAAGGGCTTCAAGCACTGAGCCAGTCCTAGCTCAGAAATCATTGTCTTTTAACTAACATCTCCCTAAGCTTGGCCCCAGTCCCTGGGAACTTCATTCCTATCTGATTCTTGTTCAGAATCTCTAGAACATTTCTAAAAACTTCCTCCTAAGCTTTTAATTTATTCTTTCATAAACATGCTTTATACACTTGAGGGGTTGTTTTTTTTTAGATCCATTCATTTCAGCACTAAAAATCTAGCTATATCTAATTCTGCTATTGCATTGTTGAATTGTATTTACAGTAACCTCAGTGTGTATGCATAGGCATGTGCATGTGCCTGCTCCTGTGCATGCATATGCCTGTGTGTGCATGAGCCTGTACATGGATGTGCTTGTATGTATATGCCTGTGGGAGTATGTGCCTCTATGTGTGCATACGTGTGTGTGCACACAGACGTATGCATGCATTATGAAGTAAATGTTCCACTTTGCTGTATTTCTTTAGCAAGAGTCTGTGTTCACATCTTTCAGTTAAGCAGAATCCCTATCCAGGTCCACCTTAGACTACATCTCCAGCTAAGGATTCTTCAGAGACTGCCCTGAAAAAAAGAAACGTGGTAACTTGAAACCACAAATCCTGTGTCCCATGAGGATCTCCTAAGTGTGTCTCAAAGAAGAGACACATTTTTCATGATTGGAAAACAAGAAGCAGAGAGATATTAATTCTTTCCATCTAACTTATTGCAACTGCCACTCAACCATGCTTGCTAAAACAGTGGAGTGTTGGCAATCACAGGCAGCATAGGAGGCAGAAAGGCGCTGGCACCTACTTGATCTCAGACTGTCCACATGGCTTCTTCCTGGCGAGACTCAGCAGATCTTTGCCATATTTCTCTTCAATTGATGCCCTATAAGGAACAGAAGAGAAGGCCATGGGTCCTGCATAGAGTTCTTGGCTAAAGCACAAAAAGCGCTGCCCCTGCTGGAGAGCTGTGCACTCACTGTGGACATTCAGATGTGATGTCACTGTCCAAGATATAAGACTCAGTAATAAATTAAAAAAAAAACTAAAAATAAACCTTGGAACCACATATATATGACATACAGGCACAACACATAAATAAAAATAAGTCTTTGAAAATACATACATTACATACACACACACACATACAACGCAAGACTTCTGTTTTTAATGACTTTTGTTTTGTTTTGTTTTGGGTGTTGGGGACTGAGGAAGTCCTGAACTTGCTAGGCAAGCATGCTTCCACTGAGCTCAATCCCCACTGAACCCCTACTGTACAAGGGAAAGAAGCATAGTTGTCTTCAACTCTAGCTATGCTCAGGTTGGAAGTCCCTTCCACATAAGAGACAAGGCTTCTATGTAGTCAAGGCCAGCCTTGAACAAGTTAAGACAACAGGTCCATAGCACTGTGCCTGACTTGTACATAGTTTTTTAAGGGGAGCCCTTTTCCACCTTCTCTAAGAGGCTCTTCCTCCTCCAGTCAAATGCACAGCTAATCTGTACCAAGAGAAGAGGATCTCAAGACATAAACTGCAGCTGGCATGTCACGAAAACAGCTGCTTGGGTGTTAGAGGATAGTCTAAAGCACTAACGGTCATCTTCCCTGACCTCTTCACCTCCCCCAGCCCTGTCACTTTCTCCACTGTTTGCCCTAGTCCCAGCATTATGCAGACTATACGATCAGGTTAAGGTATTGTACACTACCCTAGTTACTTCAGGTCTTCAAAAATTCTAGAACTAAATAATAAATAGTCTCAGGGGAAAAAAGAGCCAACTGGGGGCTGGGAAGATGGCTCAGTAAAGTGGCTGTTTCGTAAGCATAAAGTCCTGAGTTAGAACTCTCTGCACCCATGTGCACTGCTCGGGAGAGACAGGAAGATTGCTAAGACTTTCTGGTAAGCTAGTCTAGACAACTGGTGGTGCCCTGGTTCAGTGAGAGTCCCCTACCTTAAAGAATAAAGCAGAGAGCAATTGAGGGTGCCACCCCAAATCAACTACTGGCCTCCTCCATATGGAGAGAGAGAGAGAGAGAGAGAGAGAGAGAGAGAG